TATTATATCTGCTCTCTGATAACACAGAGAGTTGCAAGCAGCTATTGTCTGAGATCGCATGATGTAGTCTTGTTAGATGTGCCAAGAGCAAGGACTGTCTTAGGTAAGACAGCTTTTATGTGCGCAGCTCCACTTGCTTGGAACATTCTTCAGCAAGAATTGAAACTGAGCAATCTCATTCCTCTGCATGTTTTTAAAGCTAGGCTAAATGAAATGCTCGTTGATATTATGGGCACTTGTAAATGTCTATAACTATGTAAATGTATCCTGTAAATATAATGTATGATGTCCTTTATTGTTTTATGTTTCATGTGGAACCTATATGCTGCAGGTCTCCCTTGAAAAAGAGATCTATGATCTCAAGGGACCAATCTGATTAAATAAATGTTTGAAATGAAAAGAAAATGGGAAATATGAAAACGTCTTCTAAAACTACAATTCCCAGTAGAGACCCGCCATAGAACATGTTGGGAAACACACAAATAGCCAGCATGTGTAGTTCTGGAGGGTCGGGTGGGGGTGGACGTGTTCGAATCCTGTTTTGGATAGTGTGCCGTCGATGGGCTTCATTCCATTTCAAAGTGCTGTTTGACGCTCTTTGTAACCATGCCACTCCAACATCCAATCACAGAGCTTGAGGACTAATCACCGGGTTTGTCAAGTAAAGCAGACTGGTGTAGTCCCAAACGAAAGCTGAGGATTATGGGTAGTGTAGTGTCTTCGGCCATCCTAAACTCCGAAAAAACTATTTGTTTCTCCAAATCGAAGGGGAAAAACACAAAAGTATTGTAAACAATTTAAACCAATCAATGTTGTGTAATTAAAAGGTATAATCTGGTGTTTTTGAGTTGATGAGTAATGCAGATATCACTGTAAAATCAATCGACAGTAGAGAGAATACTTACTTCCAGATGTAAAATTCTCAAAAACAACTACTGTGGCCAGAAAACGTGAGATCGTAACATTCTTTTCTATTCAAATTAATAGCTGCTCCGCGCATGGTGGAGCGCATTGTAGGAAAGCAAGACAATAAATGGCAAATATATGTAGAAAATAAACGTAATTGAGTTACGTCCAAAACAAACGTAATGTGGTAGAAAATACCTTTCTAGCTTAACATAATTGAGAATGCGTGGGAACGTAATTTTGAGGAGACAGGGTTGACTGTAAAGATGAGTGGACCGAGTACCAAGCCTTGGGGGACACCATGGTTAACAGAGAGGTAGGAGGAGCTACAGCCAGCGTAGGNTCCGGGTGAGGAGAGGGTGATGGAGTTGAAGAAGGAGGAGCGGAGGCGGGTCGAGCCAAGAGCCCAAGGACAGGAGGGTGAGGGGAGGTATCATGGGGGACAACATGGTCCGGCTCGGGAAGGGTGCAGAGAGGGCTTAGGGAGAATCAGTTTGTACTTGGATGTGGCCTGAGTACTAGGAGCAGTGCTATATGCTGAGTATGCAGCCGATATTAAGCAAAGTCAAAAACCTGCTAAAGCCGACTAGCATTAAGTAGTTTTATCATAATGACTTGATAGGGGGGGTTCATTTTTATTTAGGTTGCAAAACATAATTGAGAATGCAATTTAGTTCTGTGGGAACGTAATTTGGAGGAGACAGGGTTGTTACAGTATACATACTTCCAATTGGTGAAATCATCCTCCGCTATGGTCTCCAGTTCCACTCATCTGCCAATGACACCCAACTCTACGTCAGCACAAAACCTTCTGCCCAGCCCCTCCACGCCTTCATCACCTCACGCATGGACTACTGCAACAGAGTCCTGTCCAGGGTTTCCATCAAAACCCTGGACAGGCTCCAGTATATCCAGAGCTCTGCTGCTAGGGTCCTTACCCACACAAAGCCTGGCAGAACTTCACCCCTACCCTCCATCACTTTCACTGGCTTCCAGTCCCGCATCACATATAAACTCCTCCTCGTCACCTACAAGTCCCTCCATGCCCTTTCCCCTCAATACCTCATAGGTCTCCTCCACCCATACATCCTGTCCTGTACTCTGCGATCCTCAGACTCCGCCTGCTTTCCATTCCCCATTCACGCCTCCGCACTTTCTGGGACCGTGCTTTCAGTGTTGCTGCCCCAACACCAATTCTAATTCTCATTCTTTATAACTTTGAGTCATTATTTTCTATGCAATCGTTGACAATCTAAATAAATAATGATCTGATGCAGCCACCTCTCTCTGTCTGCAGTAGGCCTACCAATTTGTTGTCCTAATCAATGACTGTCATTACATCTGTCTGTCACAGGACTACTTTTTGTCACCACATTTGCTTTACAACGGTTCAAGATGCAGTCAAGCTACTATTTTGTAAGATAAGATATCATAGAGCAAAACATTTCTTTTAAAATAATATATTTTTCATTAGTTTTACCAAAGTAACTTGATTTAATTGTATTTAAAATAAAATTTCCAAAGAAATAAATCCTTCAAATCTGCCTGTTCAGTTTCTGTTGGAATGTGAAGGGTTAAATGCCGTCTCTGCGAGTTATGTGAAGACGGGAGAGCTTGTTGGTCCCTCTGTACATTCACAGAGGGCCAGCTATAGTAACTCAATGAGAGAGTAATGTCAAATGACAGTACAATTGACCAATCATATCTTCCCTCTAAATGGGTGGGCTTTATTTTCGCGGACTTTATGACAAGTTCCGCCCGCTGTGAGGTTTATACTTGTGTATAAAGTGGTGCAGTGACGCGTCCTAAAACCTGGAAGTAAGCTGCGCTCGGGTTCCCTCGACAAAAAAGCAATGGGATTTCTCCATAGGGTTTTGGAAAATAGCTGGAAATAAGGTCTGTGGAACGAACCTGTTAGATAAATGCACGTTTTGTTCAGCCGGATAATATCCACATGTCTACCCTACTTTTATTATTTTTTAATCATAAATCTAATCGATAGATTTATGATGGATAGATTTATGATTAGCATAAGTTTGTTCATGATGGCTCACTTCAGTGATAGTGATGACATCGTTGCGAAATTATTAACCGAGTCATTTTCAAGATTGAGTTACAATGA